GTGCTGTTTGTTAGTGTCTCTTTAAATTGTATGCTTTTTATGTTAAATATTCGGTTAAATGAAAATGCAGAACATTTTTTTTTAAATTTAATAAATACAACAACTCCAAATTGCATACAAAAAATATGAAATTGTAAATTAATGTTAATCAAATCAAATAATCAAATAATAATATGAAATTTAAATTTTGGTTGAGCAATATTAATTAATTAATTGAAATGGAGCAAAACTCTTAATAATTTGGTATCAAATATTTAAAACTGAACATTAAATTGAATCGAATTCAATTTATAATTAATTTTTAATGTATGTGAAAAAATGTAATGAAAAAACAATTATAATTGAGTCGAAGAAGTAGCTAGCTATAACCCACTTGGCATCGAGACAGACCCATTCAACTAAGTCACACTGGCAAAGATCAAGTTATTCATTTTGCTGGCTGAAATCCATTTAACACGGTGACCTCGCTTAGAGCCAAGTATTCTCACCACATAAAAGGAGAGCATATAATATATTGCCAAAACAACTTTAGTAGCACATTTGAAACTACTCAAAAGCTGGTTGGCCATTTTAAGGACTCTGTGTTTAGTGTTTGCGCAACAATTTTCAAGACATAAATCTGTAAAATGCCGTGCGTTAAAGAGCTGATTTTTATGGCGTGCTGGAAAGGCCGTCGAACTGCCTACTCGAGAAAATTGCATTCCTCTTTTTAACTTCACTTTTCCACACTCAAGTTTGGTAGTTGGAATTTCAAATTTTCCTTTGGCACTAGCGCGTTTTTTTTTTATTTCGTTTTGGGCAGAATGAAACTTCCTGCCTATATTCGTATTCATGTGTAGCCCGAAAACGGTGCCTTAATTTGAGTATAATAAGTGCTGCTGCTGCTGCTCAGTCACGCCGGCATATGATGAATATTCATAATGCAAGTAACATCTTCTGACAGCTGAAAAGCTTGAACAAACAAATGAAAAATGATTTTGCTGCTTATGTTTATGCTTGGCATATGTTGAATGCTTCACTCGACTTGCTTGCACTTCGTATATTTGTGTGTGTGTGAGTGTGTGTATGTGTGGCAGTGTGCTACAAGGCGGACAAAAGCAGAGCGTGAATAAATATTACTCATACGAGCTGTTGTGCAGCATTCTGTGATGCGAGCAGCAAGTATTTACACCTACAATGCCAGCTTGCAGTTTGCAGCACAATCAAAAGCTATATAAACGTATACAAAAATGCATAATATGCATAAATATCTATGTGTGTTTGTGGGTGTATGCGTGTATACATGTGTTCGGATAGGTGGGTGTTTCTATAAGTGTTTTTTTGCTCGAACAGTCTGCAACAAAATGGCTGCTGCCACTACAACAGCAACAGGAATAACAATAGCTGCATCTAGTGCCGTCTGCAGCCACACTCATAATGATTATCCATTGAAATGGAAATGCCAGCCAAGGATTTAATATAATTTTCAATGCGTAAACTGCACTGTGAAAACTTTTCACACTGCAGCAACAGCAGCAGATGAAAGATGCACAAGAAGGCAGGGCAGCAGCATCGTCAGATTCAGACGGGAATGCATCTCGACAGCATGAATTGCAAGTTGAAGAATAGAATTCAATTTAAATAGATTTCCGCTTAGAGGAAATTTAAAAAGTGCAGCAAAAGGCAATTGTTAATGCAAACTGAAGCTTCATTTCTTTTCAGATAAGACGTGTCTGTTTGTGTGTATGTGTGTGTATGTGGCACGTTGATTGAAAAACTGCTAACTACATACATTTAGTGAACACAAAAAACAGCAAACATACTCTCATGCAGGAAGCCCACACAAGTGCAAGTAAAAGTATTGCAACAGTCATTCATTGAAATGTGAGAAAGCCGGAAAAGTAAAGAAGGTAACAACTGTCTTACAATTGATAAAGACGATATCTAAATTCCCTTTTTGTGTAAATTATCCCGAAATTTTTGAATTATCCCTGGATAAATTTAAAAAAAATAGCAATACATAAATTAATTTGATAAGTTTAAAAATACATATATCTTAATTTTTACATATTAAAACTCTTCAAATATTGATAAGCTATCGATTAAATTGCTGATGAGATATTAAAAAAATTATAATACTAAGTGTGTAATTCGCAACACTTTCTTGCTTATTCATAGGTTGGCTTCTGGGAACCCTCTAGAATGGCGCCGGTTGCTGCGTTGGTTACTAAAAGTCTCGCACAAAGGCAAAATGCTAAGCAAACGTGCGTGCGAGAAAGGTAATTGAAAAATAGTTTCCTTTTTCCATTCCCAGTGCTATTGCAATTTCCTCAGCACTTCTTCGGCAATTCCAATTGCAAACTCTGCCATCTCTTATTTGCAGTTGCCGGCAATTGGCTATAATTTAAATGCACTTTAAGATGCCTTAAAAGTCGAGCTTCATATAAAATTTAAATTGAGCCAGTTTAAAAGCAACTATCGCAATTCGAATACAGTTATTAAACTAAATATGTGTGAATTGTCTTTTATTAATTTACACCTAAACTGCACTTAAATAAATGCTCTCAAATTGATATTCTAAATCGTTTACTGTTGACTGCTGGGCATATGGTGAGCTCATATTTCAGTGTCGACCAAATCACAGCGAACAAGAAATACTAAAACCTCAAGCACGGCTGGAGTAATAAAAAAAATGAACATTTGGCGACATTCGAGTTTGATAAATGGTGAATGGGGTGTTTCATTAAAGTGTTGCATACTTTCGGGCGTTATGCTAATGGCCAACTGAAAGCGAAACGGAAGCGGAAGCGAGCATGAATATGAAAATGAAAACTCAACCGCAGACTTGCATGGCAACTTTTAATTACATTTCACAAGAGTGTGACGTGCGTAGGTATGTGTGTGTGTGTGATTGTGTTGCATTTGCATGTGTATGACACGCCGAAAGAGACTGCCAGTGGACAGAGGGAGGGGTACGGAGCGAAGAGCAGAGCTAGCAAAATGTAAGTAATGACTAAATGCGTACTGTGACAGTTTAACATGACAAAAATGTTCCCTTTTTTCCGCTGAGCTTGATAAATGATACGGACGACAAGTACAACACGAACAACTTGCATCATATCCTTGAAATGTTGCTGGACTTCACTTTGTTGCCGGCCCTAGTTATTGCTGTTTTTGTTTTTTGTGTTTTTTGTTTTTTTTTTGTTTTGTGCTTCACTTTCATCGTGCTTTATCATATTTTTTTTAGTGCCTACGCAGCTTTAGTGGACATTTGAGTGAATAAAGGGGATTTTCGCCATAAATACGCCAACACCTCGAAACACAAATGCACAATGAATATGAATAAGACTATAAATGCGAAAAGCGAAAGGCCAAACGAAAAGGAAAAACTCCGACGACGCGCTAAGCGCTGAATGAAATGAAATAGAATGGCTCCAGAGGCAAGAGCAAAGCAAAAACAAGGAACAATGCTCTAGTTAAGAGAGTTCGACTAGAAGATACCCTGAACCCAAGTCTATACCTATTATTAGATGTACACATCTTAGATATTTATAACAACACTCTTAATTCTATACACTCATTGTATTTAGTTAGGTATGTGTGCATATATATCTTGGACTTCAATTTTCGATCTATATTTGAATATCTATCTTAAGAAATTTTAACAGATTATAAATACATACCCAATAAGGCAGCTATGTCTTTAAAATTATGGCTTTAATTGCTATCGGTAAACGATGCTCATGTTTCGATAAAATCAACCAAACTTGATCTGCATATGGTATGTGAAAACTAATAATATAAATTGGTTATTCTCTGACATCGATGTGTTCATGCAGACGGACTTGGTTAGATCGACCCCGCTGTTAATCCTGATCACATTATGGGGTTGGAGATGACTCTTTCCCCTTGTTACATACCTTTCCACAACTTCAATATATTCCTTTTACCTACTTTAAATGAATCAAGGGCATACAAAAATGAAATGAAATGAAATAAAACAAACATTGTACGAAAAGGCGCGATTATTATTTATGACTTTGCGGCTTGGGCAGCCGGTAAGGTTGAACATGTTTTTTCTTCTTCTGCTTGCTCTCATATTACAGCATATTTAAAGATACGTTTTATATACCCTGCAATGCAAGAACTCAGCTAGTAATAAACATTTAACAAATATATAATGTACCACAAGTAAACTTAGCAGCTTGAGCCCTTAAGATTTAACTTTTAAGCTTGAAGTGTACCAGCACTAAAATGCCTATAATTGCTTATCTTTTTCCAAAATAATTATAATACCTAAATTCTTTAAGAATTTTGTGCTATTTTCAGTATGCTCTAGAGTGCTGGACACCATCAGGCAAAAAGCAAATGCCCATTTCGTGGCACTCTTAATTGGCGTAGTGCATAATTAATTAACCATTGTTTTTGGTCACCTAAAAGGGCTCGAAGCAACAAAATTAATGTGCTTACATTTGTTTCTTTTTTTCTTTTTTTTCTTGAGTGTTTGCTTTTGGGCGGAATTCCATTGTTGCTGTATTTTAAATATTTAAAACTCAGCAAATGAAATTCTTATTAAGGCGTGCAACAAGGAGGCGAGTGCCAAGTGTCCAGTGGAGTGCAAAAAAAAGGGGCGGGATGGTTGGTAAAATACGAGATGAAGTCACTGCAGCCTTTGGCCACTGACCGCTGACTGGAAATTTTAAGTTTCATTGATTTTCTTCATACACTTGGACTGTGTGGCGTCCTTATCTGAATTCTTGGCTCGACAGCATGCGGCGGTTGAATTTTTAATGTGCACTGCAGTCGACCCAGATATTTAATATACATTTCTTAAATGCATTTATGCCACATGCAACCGATCCCTGGAATACCGTCATATCGTTTTCAAAATAATTATGTTCATTATATATAAAGAAAATATTTTTATGTTGCGATTATATTCGCTTGCTCTCTGGCAATATTGGTAGTGAATAAGAAAAATAATGAAATAAATAACAAATTATTTTATAAATATACGATATTTCGTGACAATTTACAAACACTTGCACTGAATATTTAATTCTGGCCTGGCAAATGACCAACTATTGTGGTCTTTTGCGCTGTTCTCTGCGTGCCATTAGCGCAGTGTTGGCAGCACGCAGAGTAAAGTAGTAGACAAACTCGATGGCGCTTTGGATGCTGGCGCCAAGGAAGAGTCCCAGTATACCACCAATCGATACAACGACATCCAGCGACGTACGCAGCACCTGACGCCGGTATTGATCAGTGGGCCAAATTGGCATCACCAGTGTTATATTAACACTCCGCTCCCTGATAGTTTTACTAAAGCATATATTATTTGAATGGTACACGGAGATGGTAACAGTTCTCGAGCTCACCCATTTTGATCCTCATATATGGACTTAAGATCGCCCTCCGTACAGGAGGGTAGGCAATGACAATTGATCGTCGGTGAATTTATACTAAAGAGTCGCTTAACATCCTGTTTGACCATCGATGCCTTCTCCAGACACAAATAGCCAGCGAAGTCACAGTCGGGATAGCGCTTATTCTCGTACGGTGTCAAATTGTAGATGGAACAATTGCACAGCTCCATTTGATACAACCGAGAGCAATCGCTGATGCAAGCACTGAAACTGTACGCCTTGTACATGCTCCACGGCTGCACCTCGTCCGGGAAATAGCAATCGCGTGCGGCCACCGGAATATCCCTCATAGACGGATCATTCACCATGTCTTCCTTGTGAAACTGCAGCGTCTTGTGCTGCCCCTCGAGTACGATGACGCCCACCGATGGTAGCGGCTGATTGGTGATATCCTCCTCATTGCGCACACTCACCTGCGCCGCTCGCGTCAGATGCAAACGCATCTCGGGGTGGCTGCCACGATCCAACATTGCCGGCAGCCAATGCTTTGAGCCTGGATTGTTGTTCTGCAGCGAGTTGAAGAGGAAACAGCTGCCGAACGGTGTCAGCATGGGCAAAAAGTATTGGCAGCAATCGAATGGCTGATGCGACAACTTGCATTCGACAAACAGATCCGAGCAATTAAAGGCAAACTACAGCAAACAAATATTATGAATTTATATGTATGTCTTTCTAAAATAAATATGTGTTCTGCCTTACTTAATTGATGCACTGATCTATCTGAAACCTACCCTGGACGCAATATGTCGATATCCATTTTTGGGGCACTTTGCGCATCCATCACATTTCTCGTAGGGGTCGCAGCGAGTAAACATTCCAGTTGTATATTGATAGGGAAACAATATAAACGATATATACGACTCCACTTCCCAATTATAGGGTCCATTTAGGTCTGTGCCCAAGCTGCAAGAAATTCAGATTATATCAAGTGGTTTGTTGTATAGCATTATCTCAATTATGCATACCTGCCCACAAAGTTCTCTACTTCTTCGGAGAAGTCCGTCTTGAAGCGCACCTCACAAACGCTAATCGATGGAAATTTCAACAAGGCAAATGGCGATAGACTCTCGTGGACAATGCTAACAGCACGTGAGGTATAATCGCGCTGGTACATATCGATCAGATGATAGACCCCAAAGGTCGAGGCAAGGATGCAAATGAGCCAAAAGATGCGCTCCGTTAGATGTAAGCTATATGGTAAGTAGTATCCGCATTCATATATTTGTCGGTTAGTGTAACCTAGACTTACTTGTGGTTGGCTATATAGGAAAAACCCGCCAGGCTACAATTTTGGCAGTACTCCTTCAAGTAATGGACAAACCTCCAGCCCAAATCACACTTATTTCTGTTCTGTGGAAGTTGTTTTTCCATTCTTACGTATGTCTGTCGCTTGCCGACTGAGGAATACTGTCGCACTGTTGGCTATATATAAGTTAAAATTCCCAGTCGTATACTGGACCTGCGTTGCGGTAATTAAATTGCATGTTCGCCTGCTTGTGTGCCACCCATTTGGCCTTGGCCACCTCCTCTGGTTCGGCTGGTTGGTTCGCTGCATGCGAAAAAGCTCTTAATTGGTATTTGTTTTGTGCAGGTGCTATAATAAGGATTTAAATCACACAGCCCACACACTCGTGCATATCTTATATGTGTGTGTATAAATGCATGCACTCGAGACTCACAAAATTGTTCATTTATGAGTGGCTGAGTGGATTAAATACAGGCGACACATGCGTCAATTTACCAGCGAGCAGCTTAAAATGTCATATTGTCTCATTTTAAGGGGATTTATGAAATGATTGGAGTTACATTTTATTCAACTGCCATTGTCTAGAAAGTTCAATTGAACAAATCATAGTAAAATGCTTAAAATATGACATTATGTTTGTAACTTTTTATGACGACTTTTATATACATATTTTCAAGTTTATTCGTTTTTTTTTAGTAATCCTCACCAAACTACTCAGTTATACGTACTATTTTACTCTTAACATTTTGACAAAAAGTGGAGCAATTAATCAGTTTTTTAAATTAATAGTAAAATTTAAATGATGGCAAATGCACTCCAGATGGGACTCTACAGGGGTAGGTAATCTTCGAAGTGCCCAAGATAAACGTTCTTACTTGTTATAATTATATTTCAAATAATGTTAGGAAGATTATAACAAAAATATCTTTTAATAAAATACTTTGTTTTTCCTACTTTTGTGAATTTTTGACCACCTTTGTGAAAACGCTTGGAGTATTGCCATCGCCTGGGCCAATTTTCAGAACCATAATTCGTAAAGTTGTTAGAGGCAGTAACGACACAAAACTCCTGCTCAATTACAGCCGGCAGGCGGGTTGGCAGCAAAATGAGCGAATGAGCGACCCACTTACACCGAAGACCCTAATACCCACACCGAAGTGCTTAGAACTCGACGCTAAATTAGAATTGTGCAATTACGACTCATTTGCGTTGTTTGCTGGCTGCTGAATAACACTTAAAAACAATTAGAGTGCTTATTGAAATTTGAAATGCTGCCTGGCTGAAAACATGCAAAATGCCGCATGCAACACTAATGCAATCATTTTAATTATTTATGCGTCCAAACATGCAGTTAAAATGTTTTGGTAATCAGAGTTAATGTCCCGCAGCCAACGCATTGTTTCAGACACCTACGCAGCATTTTTACATCGCCCAATTGGTCACGTTAACCTTAACTTTTATTTAGTAAAATATATTTATTTCATTTGCGCGTTTGCATTAAGGTCAATTGCAAAATGTTTTAAATTATCGCAGTACGTGCTTAGAACTTTGATCACAAAAACAAAACATGAAAAACTATATAAACTAACTTATACCTCTTTCAAACACGTCTGCCCACTTTTGCTTTATTCACAACGATCGTGCGCTTCTTCTTCAAGTTGGTGGTCACACTATTGATATCGATTGATATCGATATCTGTGTTATGTGACAGTCTTATATATACTTCACTAGTAGCCTGTTACCAGCATTACAGGAGGCCTGCTCCAGTAAGAAAAAAAGTTTTGATCAAGTGAAGTGCTTCAAAATATTACTTAAACTTAAATTCATACAAATCTGTGAATTGCATTTCAAGTGATTAAGCATTCCAACTTAACAATTCGCTTAACCAAAATGGGTCTTACAATCACTCAATGAAGCTAAAAGACTTATGGCTTACACATCCCACTCTATTTATCCATAAGGCAGTCAATTATTAAGGTAACTGGATTTCTTTCTTTCTTTGGGAGATTGCAAATCAAGTCGCGTTGAGTATTCAATTGTTAAATATTTTTTATTTACTTATTTCGTTTGTTTTTGGCATATTGTTGAAACCGCCAAACTGGCAAACGACACATTTCAATAAAGCCAAAAGGGAAATATTTATGTAACAATAAATAAATGATTTAATAAATAAATTGAAACAACTTGTGAAACATGTATTCAAATTTGATCCCGACTGTTAGCGTTTAATATGAAGCATGACAACAAAAAATGTTGAGTACTTTAGCAAACAACATTCAATATTGAACCAATTGTATATTGTATTTTATGTAAACCATACACAATCAGAAACAATTCCATAGATTTTCATATTTCGTTTCTAGTGGGAACTCACTAACAAACTTTAGTTAAGCTACAATTTTGATTTGACATTGTAAACTAAGTTCAGTTTTAACTATTGATCTATGACATTGTGTTCAATCTTGATTGCTGTTCAAAAGCAGAATACCCACAAGCAATTTGTTTAAGTTCAGTTATGCGGCTAACAATTTTATGGCTAAAAGTGCTTTGGAATTTTGTGAAATATTTTCCAGTTGAAACGACAACAGTGTTTTGTTGTTATTGGATTTGTTGTTTTAGTTGTTATCCACCTACGCAGGCCAGGCAAGGGGCGAAAGAGTTTCGCTGCACTTTCCTGTCCGGAGGGGAAAGCGAGTCAAAAATGTTGTTGTTGTTGTTTTTGTTATTGAAGCCAGTATCAGCTTTGTTCATTTGCATGTGGAAGCTCGATGCGTACCACCAACAATTTTGCAGGTGTATCGATAAAATGTCAAGCGCAATAGCAGCCACAACAACATCTGACAACAACAGACGACAAGGCAATTTAAATACTAACATGTGTATGAATAGAGGTAGCTAACGGACAAGTGGATTTTTTTCTCATTTTATTTTGGCGCGCGAGGGGGTCGCTAATTGAGAGGAGCTGCGGTTGTTGCTGATGTCGACACACAATTAACTTGAAAATACTCCAAGCTATGTTAAGTGTCAATTAGTTGGCAGCAGCTAAGAAATATTATTTACATTTTACATAACATTTAGCAGCGCGAGTTATTTGATGATAATCACCGACTTTTCGATTATAGATATCAACTAAACCATATCTTTAAATGTTTTTAATGTATCTTTGGTTATCCGATTATATTTGCAAAGTTCGTAAAATTATTCACATAAAAAGCATTCGTTCACATTATTGAAAAACTTTCGATAAACAACCAAAAAACCCTTGCAACTCATGGGTCATCAAAACTGATTTTGGTTCTGTGCCCCTCGTCTCTGAACTCACATAATTTGCAAGCATTTCAACTAATAAATGAAATTGATTTTGGCCAAACAAAACTAACCAAAAAAGGGTAGCCGCAATAAACAAAATCGAGAATCAATAAAAATCAAAATGATATAGGTAGAAAATGAATGCCCAAATATAATATGCAGCCACAAACAATAAACGTGGCCAACGAAAAAATGACAACAAAACAACAAATGAAATATCTGTGGAAAAAACATAAAAAAAAATCGTGTTCAAGTGCCACGTTTTGTCGTCTAAGCGACGGGGCGGCAGAGCCTGCCAACTGTTGTTTTTTGGTTGGGCCATGCCCCTTGGCCCACAATCATCTCTCTCCTCCCGTCAACCCACCAAACACGAACTCGCCACCGCCCTCTGCACCCGCCCTTACCGCAGGCCTGCCTCGTCTGTGCAAACAAAATGTGGCTGTTGTTTGTGTTTTTACATGCGCTGACAATATTGCAACAATGTCGTTCAACGTTTAAACAACAAACAACTGCAAAGAAAAAAATGGAAATGAATGAAATGACAACAACAACAGTAACCACTTAAAGTTCTCAAATCGGGCAGACATGATTATAAAATATCCTGCAATTTTCCATATGCAAAATTTACATTTGTATTTAATTCAGTTTCTAAAAGTACAAAATGGATAATCATAATGATCAACGATAATCGTTGATTGAATTACGTGAGATTTATATGTATAGTTTTTGGTAATTTATAATAAATTATTTATGGTGCTCAGTTTTTGATTGATTTTGAGCTAAAATTTATATTCTTACAGTCTGTTTCTACCTAATACATACATTTCCACAGCATCAGAATAAACAGCATTAGAACAATTTTATATATTTTGCAGGGCATAGAGACCTCGACGAACATTTCGGCACCGGCAACTCAACTGTCAACTGCACGTAGGCAATGGCCAGCGCAAATGAGACTGAATGGGCTCCACTTGAGGGCTAGAATTTGAACAAGGAACCAGTTAGCATGCGCCGCTTCGGCTTAAAGCATTAAAGTAGTTTGGAGAAAGACGGGAAAGCAGTCGTAGATGAAATAAAAAGCCAATAATATCATAACAATAACAACTGCAAACCAAAAAGGCTACCCACAATGTTGCTGCGGCAACGGAGGCAATAGTGGCAACAGTGGCAACAGTTGCTGGCAATATCAGCGATAAAAGTTGTAACAATTATCATTTGAAAGTGCATTGTTACAGTTGTCAGTGGCGGCGCTCAAGTGGCAATGCAAACACGACAGCCAACTGCAGCTCGTGCCGGCAACAACCAAAACAAAAACAACAACAACAACAACGACAACGGCAACGACGAGAAGCAACTTGTCGATGTCAGCGCTGTGAAAATTAATATGCAGAAACTGCTGCAATTGCAATTTGTTGTAAGCGCTTGAAGAAACAACGAGACGAAGAAATATTTTACATATTGAGGCATCAATTTCCATGATTATCGCTGAAGAATATCAATTAGCTTGGCTTGCCTTATGGCTTTGCTCGGTGCCATTGTCTAATGTGGAGCAGGAGCGCATAATGAGTTATAGAATTGTCATTCACATGCACAGTTATATTGAATGAATTATGGCTAAGCCGACAATGCATATCAGCTTTGCTGCTTGAATAACCAATACGGATTATTGTGTTCGATTTATTCGAGTGATAAATAAGAAGCGTCTTACAAAGAAAGTTCAAATCAACTCGATAAATTTAAATATATGTAAGTAAGTAATTTGCTTAATTTTATATATTATAAATGGGTCGATGGAAATCAATTTTATTTAATTAAATTATGGTATCAATTTGGAGAGAGTCTATTACGGAGCCAAAGAGGAATTTCAATTGTGGTAAACCAAATGCAAAATCCTGTTTTTAACTGCACTCTTGAAATAAGAGATCGGCTAAGCGACTCACATAGTTTAATAATTAAGCTGTAGCTGAAAATTTATGAATCTTTTGTCCTTGCA